AATTAAAAAAATAAGGCTTATAATAAAAGCTAGTCACAAGTACTTTTCTTCAAATTCAATTAATATACTTTTTTTCTAGTGCCACTGAATTCTTAGACTTGAATTCTCTTTAGACCTTGTCCATAGCTTTGACATAACAGAGAAATACTTCATTAAGTAACTTTTCAGTGTTTTTTTGTCTTGTAGAGTTTTTCCATGTCATCAACTGTTGACTCCCTATCTGCTTGAGATATTGATTTTTAAAGGTTATTAATGTTTCTTAATTTTACTGGTGATATACTGGTTTTAGATATGAACTTCTGAGACAGTCTTCCATTTGAAGTCTAATCCTATCATTTTCAGGCTTAGGATTCAATAAATACCAGCTCGTGTCTTAGCATTTTAATAGAAGGAAATGGGATGCCTTGCTTGTGAGTCCCCATTGTAGTCTAACTTCATGTATTAGAGGTAAAAGGTGTCCTTTAAAATTATATTATTTATCAAATTTATTTAGTGTGTATGTGTATACTATAGCATGTATGTGAAAAGTCAGTGGACAACTTGTGGGAGTTAGTTCTCTCTTTGCACCATGTATGATAGAACTCAGATTGTCAGGCTGGGTATCAAGCAACTTTACCCAATGAGTCATCTCCCTGCCCACTTAAGTATCTTTAAAGAACTATCACCACCACCACAATAGTGATAGCTGATAGTTATTGAGTGCAGGCTATATGCTACTTTAAATGCTTTGATAATCATTTGATAATCTTGTCAAGCAGATGCTATTACCTGTACTATGTAGATAAGGACATTTCCAAGGTTACATAGATAAGTGACAGACTTATTTCAGTGCTGGGGATCAAACTCAGCACACCATGTGCTAGGCAAGTACTCTACCACCGAGTCCCAGCCCTGGCCCTTGGTATTTATTTATTTATTTATTTATTTATTTATTTATTTATTTATTTATATTTTATGAGTGTTTTCCCTACATGTATGTAGGTGTATTGCACATATGCAATGCCCACAGAGGCCAGAATAGGGCATTAGATTCCCTGGAACTGGAGCTATAAACCATTGTTAACTGCCATGTGGGTGCTGGAATGAGCCATCTCTCCAGCCACTCCCAGCTCCTGGTATTTTGAGACAAGGTTTCATCCAGACTGGCCTTGAGATCATGGTCTCCTGCCTCTGCCTCTAACTCAGAAGTACTGGGTTTATAGGTGGTTATTATACCCAAATCACAGATAGATTTTGGCCCAAGCAAATCTAATCTCATAATCTATACTTTAAAAAAATATTTAATAACCACATGATTAGAAGAAGCATTTCATTACAGCTTTCACATATTTAATAACAATTTCCAGAGCAAAGATACATCTCTTTCAAAAGTGGCTGTAAATTTTTAGGTTCACAGTTGAATTAATACAGTTATACAACATTGAACTCATTATAAACTCTGTAAGACATAAAATTGAATGAGTTTTTAACCTGTAAAAAAATCTCCATTTCATTTAAAAATAGTTTCCTGCAGCCTCATTTTTAATGCTACTAACACTTAGATGTTTGCACATGCATCTCTAATCTCTATGTATCTGATTATTACTAGTCACAGTCGGTTACACTCGGATCCTTGGCACCTGACTATAGATATAAAGTCATCAGGTAAATTTCAATGGTAATGTTTATTACCTCTACTAATTGACATGAAGTAAATTTTTATGCTTCCTCCTCAAATATAACTCATTTTTCATTTGATTTTTTGTGTATATCATACAGAACATCCCAAACAATCTTATTCCTCTACATACCCACTTCCTAAATGGCATTCTCCCATAGCTGCCCCCACCCACTGGAGCCCATATACTCCATATACTGGAGCCCATAACAGGAGTCATCCCTGTTACTGTCCACTGTGTTGTCGGTGCCTCCAGCCGTTCTCCAGTGCTTGTCCATCTGCTGAATCTAGTCAGCCTACCTAGAGAGCCTTGTTTTAGGAAGATCACCTATTCCTCATATAGCAGCAATCAGTTGTCAATATTCATAATCTATACTTTTTTAAAGTTTATTTTAATTTTAATATTTTAAATTTATTTTTCTTTCTTTTTATTTTTTATCTATCTGAAAAAAATTATTTTTATTTTTGAGACAGAGTCTCACTATGTAGTCCTGGCTGACCTAGAACTCCCTGTGTAGACCAGGCTGGCCTTGACTCTCAGAGATCTGCCTGCTTTTACCTCTCAAGTGAGTAATGGGATTAAAGGCATGAACCACCACATTTGACTATACTTTTTTTATTTTTTTAAAGTAGGACCTTGAAGAGGACTACCTGTATTCTTTATTAGTTTTCATGTTACTAAACAACCTCCAATTTCATTGTGATGTATGTCTTCCAGGATTAACTTTACAATGCTTCTAAAGCAAGGCTTTCCAGGCTTTAGGATTTCAAAGGCTATTACAGCACAACCAATGATTCTGGGAACAATAAAGATTTACTAACTTTAATTTTTTTGAGACAGGGTCTCAATTATATAGCTCTGGCTGACCCTAAACTTCTATGTCTACCAGGCAGGCCTTGAACTCATAGAGATCCTTCATCTCTGCCTCCCAAGTACTGGGATTGAAGACTTGTGCCTCCACATCTGGCCTAAATTTTAAATATTTTTAAGAAAGAAACGTAAAAGACGAAGACTCCCATCACTGTTTACTTAAGAGTAAACACATAAAATAAAGTACAATGTAATGCCCAAAGTAGGATGGATATAACTAGAAAGACAGCATCTTAATACTTTTAAAATTCACCTATTGTCCTTATATTTCCCACTTTGTTGAGAAAGAGCTACTCTTGTCCCAATACCTAGGTGAAGCAACTCCCATTCTATTTAAACACAATTGCAATTTTAGTAACTTTACAGTCTGTATTTCTAGAAAGAACCTGTATCTTTGGATCTGGAAATTAGTAATATCAAAAGTTGGTGGTGGTGGTGGTGGTGGCGGTATGTGTTCCTGTATGTTTAGGTGTGTGTGCTTGTGGAGGCCAGAGGTCAACTTTGGGTATCATTCCTCAGGAGCCCTCCACTTTGTTTTTTGAGACATGCTCTTTCTTAGGACCACGAGCTAACAGATTAGGCTGGGCTGGCTGGCCAGGGAGCCCCCAGGAATCTACCCATCTCTACCTCCCAGTAAGCCCCTACATCCCTCATCTAGCTTTTTATGTGGAAACGGGGGATGATGGTTCAGTTGGTAAAGTGCTTGCCAAGCATCTTGCATGTCAAGTACACTACCAACTGAGCTATTTCCCTACCCAGTTTAAAAGATCTAGGGATCCTTTGTTCTACTAAAGTGGCTGAATACTTAAGAGTTTTTCAATACTTAAGAGTTTTTCAAGAGTTTTTCAACCTTAAAATTTTTTCAAATTCTGAAAGAGGAAATTGTTTGGGGGAATGAGCATTTCTTTCATTCCGATGCATTAAAATGAGAAAACACTTCAGGTAAAACCTTAATGTTTTCAATAGTGATGGTGTATTAATAGGGTCTATGTCTCTTGTATCTTTGATTCTCTCCAGACAGCTGGATGTGTGTTTTCAAGCGTGTCACATAACCAGGTATCTCTGTGCATAAAGGCCTCATGAATTTTTTACTGGCTATGTGAAATGAGAAGGCTCAGTGCTTATCACCTGCATTTTGAACTCAACTACAAACATGAATTATGTATATATGAAAAATTATTTGAAACAAATTTTAGTTGTCTATTAGATCCTTGCTTCCTATTGTATTTCAGATATTTTAAATTAGGACATTTCATAATTATAATAAATTATAGTTTCAATTCTAATTCCTAATGATCCAAGCCTATTAACATGACCCCTATGGGTAGTCTGTTTCACAATGCTAGTAAAAATCTAGTGGTTTGTTCTTAATGAACTTCTGCATATAGTATTATCTAATTAGATTAAAATGGAGTCCCCATTATAAGTATCTTAGAGGGAGCTCTTCTGGGAGATGGAAGGAAATTATAAAGATAAAGAATATGTCAGGACTTCTCTTTCAATATAAAGGAAATGTATATATTTTCCTTATCCTTCTAGATTTTTGCTTAGAGGATGGTGATTAAAAAATTTTTTTTTTTTCAGACAGGGTTGTCCTGTAGACTAGATTGGCCTGGATCTCACAGAATACACCTGCATCTGCCTCAGGAATGCTGGGATTAAAGGTGTGTGCCATCACACCCCGCTGAAAACCTCTTAAGAATCCCTTCTACTTTGATAATTCAGGTCTTTAATTTAAATTAAAAAAATTTTTTTTTTCGAGACAGGATTTCCCTGTGGCCCCAGCTGGACTGGCACTCGCTATTGTAGACCCGCATCTCATAGAGATCCGCTTGTCTTTGCCTTCCAAGTGCTGGGATTAAAGTTATGCGTCACCACACCCGGCTATTTATATTTATTTTTGAGATAGGGTCTCTCGTAGCCTATGGTGGTCTTCAACTCCCTCAGGAGCTGAGGATGATCCTGAACTTTTGATCCTCCTGCGTCCACCTCCCAAGTGTTGGGATTACAGGCAGGAGCCTGTAAACGCAATTATTGTGAATACTCATGTCGGAATAGCAGGCGTTCAGGGTTAGCGGCCTAAGTGAGAGAGAGCTTCCACAAAGATGGCAACGTAGGCGTATCTGGATGCTGAAGTGGACCTGGGGTGGACTGAGGCGTTAGCAGGAATAATTTAGGAGACCAGGACGTAAACTGCTGTGCGAATAACCCAGGTGTGAGCACCGTGTCGAACTCCCCAGAGAGCCGACCACGAAGACTGGGTAGTACACCGGGTAGAACAGCCCGGCACGCACCGGACCCAGCTTTACCTGAGGTCTCTGAGCGATGACGAACCCCTGGGCCTGGAGGCGATTGGCTCCGGGAGAGGGGCGTCGGCAACCAACCGGACTCGGACTTGGAGCCTCACTCCTCGCGAGAGCCGCGGTCTCGGTGCAGGATGGCCGCGGAGCGGGGCGGAACTGGCCCCCGGGCTCTAGGGCCCGAGACATGGCCCCGGGTCCCGACCAGCTAGGCGGGCGATGCCCGACACTGTCGCCATGCCCAAGAGAGGAAAGCGGCTCAAGTTCCGGGCCCACGACGCCTGCTCGGGCCGAGGTGGGCGAGGGGCGGGGCACAGGGCTGGAAGCCTGGGAATTGGAGGCCTGGGCGGCGGGGGCTGGAGGCCGGAGGGCTGGAGGTTGGGGTGGTGGAGGTCGGGGGGTAGGGGCCGCGGGGACCGGAGGCAGGGGGCAGGAGGTCCGGGCGCGGGGCCTGGAGGCCGGGGGGTTGGAGGGGCTGGAGGCTGGAGAGTTGGAGGGCAGGGAGGCGGGGGGCTGGCGGGCCTCGCGGGGAGAGGCTGAGGAGGCCTTGGCCTCGGCGCGGTGCTCTGTTTCAGTAACTGTGGCGGACTATGCCAACTCGGATCCCGCGGTGGTGAGGTCTGGACGGGTTAAGAAAGCCGTGGCCAACGCTATTCAGCAAGAAGGTAGGCTTTTGTGCCTTTTAGACCCAGGTCCTTAAAGGCATCGTTAGGTGTTCTGTTTTACTGGCATTTTGTCTACGTGTTTTAACTGCAGCCCTTTGGGCATCTGGCCATAAACCATGTTTGCTGTGCTCTTCATTGTTTGCTGTCTTGTTGGGTGTGGGGATGTGTGTGTAGCCAAGATTAACATGGTCTGAAACTGAAATATTTTATATCAAGGCATTAAAAAAAAACTTTGTTTTTCGGGGTGGTTGGCAGACGCCTTTAGTTTTAGCACTTGGGAGGCTGAGGCATGTGGATCTTTCTGGATTCTAGGCCAGCCAAGGCTACACAGTGAAGACTGTAAAAAACAAAACACCCCCCTCCCCCCAATGTAGAAGTTTCCACTGCTATTTCTTGGGTATTAATATCTCTCTTTTTTTTTCCAGTTTATGTATCTTTTAATATGCGATTGACATCCATGTATAACTACTTTGGCTTACTCTTTACCTTTTGTGGTGTTTGTCTTGCTGTCAAGGTTTTTGCTCATGAATCCTTGAGACTTAGGTCTCCAGTCCAGGGACAGGGTTAGATTGAATCCACTTTACTCCTAAGAGTTGAGTTGACTGAAAACAGAATTGACTTTTTGCTTTTATTAATCTGCAGGAGTTCACAGTGGCAATTTTTTGTTATTAAAATACTAAAATTTTGTTTCAACTTGGTAGTAGGTTCTCAGCTTTATCCAGCATTTACCCTCCCTATGCTGATACCTTAGCTAAGTATTTTTGGATGGGACTGAGCAAATCTTACTCTTTGCTTATTGTTGCCTAGTAAAATCTCTTTGTGGCTTGGAGGCCTCTCAAGTTCCTGCAGAGGAAGCTCTTTCTGGGGTTGGGGAGCCCTGTGACATCATGGACAGCAGTGATGAGATGGAGGCCCAGGAGGAAAGTGTCCCTGAGAGAGCTGTCTCCAGAAAAAAGAAAAGCAAGAGACACCGAGGTACTGGGCTTGCTTTCCTTGGGGTCATAATTGAGTTCTGTCTGTGTGGATTCACAGTGTTGGGAGATTTGAGAGATGATATTAATGGGGAACCAGAGTTTGGAGAAAAACTCTCTTAGATAAGATCTTGATAGTAGGACAATATCTGTTAATACACTTCACCTCTTGACTGATACTGATTTCTGGATCTATGAACTGGGTTATGCTTATTGATGGCATGTCATTATCAGGTAAAAACCTGCATTTTTGGACTTCTAAATATGTAAGGAAGCAGATGTGGTGAAAGTTTTTCACAAGTATTATATATGTTCAGTTTTATTTAGGTAAAGTAGATGCTGTTGTGGTCTTTTAGGTACTCCAAAGCTATTAATAATATCAAATTTGTCTAATAGGTACTATGGGAGGTAGAACAGTAGGTGATATTATACCTTAATGGTGTAAAACATAAATGAAACAAAGAAAAATAATTTATAATGAGCCAAACCATCATTAGACGCCCATGTTTTGCTCCACATGCTTAATCAGAATTTCTTGGGAGCCCAGAGTTGCTAGCTGTTTTTAAGGCTAAAATGGATTCTGATGGGCAGTGAGGGTTTGTGGAAAGCTACTAAGTCATCGATGGTAAATATAATTTTGATCTTTGGCCTACCAGAACCTGTACTTGAGAATCAGATAATAGATACTTGAATTTGCCATCATAATAAATTCATGATATTACATTGCTATTGTATCAGTTATTGTCAGTGATATCTCTCTCCTAGGATCCAGAAATTGATACCAACATTCCATTCCTTATACTCTGTTCTTAATTCTCATAGAGATTTTGTGTGTGTGTTTGTGTGTGTGTGTATGTGTATGTGTGTTTGTGTGTAGAGAGAGTGAGCAAGAGATACTCAGCACAGAATTTTGAACTTTTTTTTGTTTTTGGTCATTTTGAGACACGGTCTCCTGTAGTCCCAGCTGGCCTGGAACTCAGTATGTAGACCAAGCTGGCCTTGAACTCACAGAGATGCACCTGTTCTGCCTCCCAAGTGCTGGGACTAAAAGCGTGTGCCACCATACCTGGCTGAACATTGGCAAAGACAATTAAAAAAATATATAATTGAGGGGGCTGGAGAGATGGCTCAGCGGTTAAGAACACTGACTGCTCTTGCAGAGGACCCTGTTCAATTCCCAGCACCCGCATGGCGGCTATGAACTGTCCTTAACTCCAGTTCCAGGGGAATCCGAAGCCCTCTTCTGACTCTCTGTGGCATTGCACGACACGGGTGCACTCACATACATGCAGGCAATACACTTGTACACATAAAATAAAAGTAATAAATAAAATGTTAAAAAAAATAAATATAATTGAATGATTTTAATATTTTTACAGTTGTGCTACTGTCATTGTGAGTGAAGTGTAGAACATTTCCATTACTGTAAACAGAAGTCTTAGACAGTTCATGTCAGTCCTGATCCTTGCAACCTAATCTAATTTCTGTTTCCATGGATGTACCTATATTGGACATTTCATATAAATGAAATGATAATATGTGGTCTGTTATGCATTATGATCATGATCATTCATGGACAAGTTTTACATAGGTATGGACTTTGGTTTCTAATAGGTAGGAGTATAGTTTCTGGATCATGTGGTAATCTATATTTAATTTTTTGAGGAATCACAAAAATGGCTTCATCATTTTAAGTTTTTAACAGAAACATATGAATGTTCCAATTTTTCCACATTCTTGCCAATGCTTATTATTAGCTTCTGAAATTATAATAGGGCCAGTTGTGGTGGTATGCCTTTAATCCCAGCACTCAGGTGGATTTCTGAAAGTTCCAGGCCAGCTTGGTTTCAGGCTAATCAGGGCCACATAGTGAGACCCTGTCTCAAAACAAAACAAAAGAACAACACAAAACATATATCTTATGCGAGTTTTATTTATTGCTTATTTTGATAAAGTCTTGCCATGTATTCTAAACTTGCCTTTGAAAGTCATGATCCTCCTGCTTCACCTTCCTCGTTTTCTGTGGTTTTGGTTTGCATTCTCCTAATAACTAATGATATTAAGAATTTTTTTCATGTGCTTATCACCCACTGTTTATTTCCTTTTGAGAAATGTCTATTCAAATGCCTTATTTAAAAAAATTTTTATTTTTATTTATGTTTTGCCTGCATATATGTGTGTGTACCACATGCATGCCTGGTGCCTGTGGAGGCCAGAAGGTCAGGTGTTACGTCCCTGAGAACTGGAGTTACAGACAGTTGTGAGCTGCCATGTAGGTGCTGGGACCCTACAAGAGCAGCAAGTGCTTTTAACTGCTAATTCACCTCTCCAACTTTTACTTTGCTCTTTTTAAAATTAAAAAAAAAATCATTATATGAATTCTTTATATTCAGGATAGTAATCACTTATCTGACAAATGATTTGTGGCTTATAGACTCTTAAATATAGTTCATCTTTTATTTTCTTGCTTTATCCCCATTAAGTACCTCTATTCTAGTCAGATTGTTCCTTTTTCCCTTTTTAAAAATAAAATAATTTAAAAAACATTATTATTGGGTGTGGTGGCCCATGCTGTTAATCTCAGCACTGGGGAGGCAGAGGCAGGTAGATCTCTGTGAGATTGAGGCCAGACTGGTCTGTATATCAAGTTTCAGGACATCTGGGGCTACAGAGAGACTGTTTCAAAAAAAAAAATTACATTATTTCTGTGTGTGCGTGTAGAGACATGCATATCACAGTGCACAAGTGTTTGTGTGTGTGTAGAGACATGCATATCATAGTGCACAGGTAGCAGTCAGAAGACAAGTTGGTTCTTTCCTTTTATCATGGCGGGGGGGCCCTAGGGATTGATAACTCAGGTGGCAATTGCCATTTTCTGCTGAGTCATCTTGCTGGGCCCCCTTTCCCTTGTAGTTTCTTTTTTTTTTTCTTTTTTCTTTTTTTAATTTTACGTGTATTGAATGTATTGCCTGCATGTGTGTAAGTGTACCCATGCTGTGCAGTGCCCCTGGAGGTCAGAAGACGGTGCGGAATCTCCCTGGAACTGGAGTTACTGTTGCTAGCTGCCATGTGGGTGCTGGGAACTGAACCTAGGTCCTCTACAAGAGCAACCAGAGCTCTTAACCACTGAGCCATATTCCCCCCTCTCTTAACCACTGAGCCATATTCCCC